AGTAAGATGAAATTTGCCAATATTTTAAAAGATATTTTATTTTATATGTATTTTTTTAACCTACATATTTTTCTGTGCACCACCTGCATGCTTGTTGCCTAAATAAGCCAGAAAACTGTTTTGCGTCTCCTAGACCTGGATGTACAGATGGTTGTGAGCCACTCTGTGGATGCTGGGAAACAAACCTGGATCCTCTCTAAGAGCAGCCAGCCTGCTCAACTGCCAAGCTCGGAAATTTGAAAGGATATACTTAAGTTCATAAAAATATTACTCTCTCACAATACTTAATAGACTATAAATTTATGTAGCTCTTCATAGCATTATCAATTCCATAATCATTACCCACTCTGCTCATTATTTTATCTGAAATATTCTGACTTAAGCAAAACATTATCTTTTAGTTTGTATTGGTATCAGAAATCACAGTTCTATTCTTTTGGAAGTATCTTCTTTTGGGGTTTTATGGTTGACAAGTTTTTGTAATTTTGCATAAAATGCCCTTAAATTGCAATGAAGCTTAGCACGTATCAGAAGCATAACAGAGCTGGCTTGAGATGGAGACTGTAACTATAAGCCTTATTTTACTTGTCAACTGTCTATTTCCAACTCACTAGCTCTTATCAAATGTGACGACATGTCACAGTTCTTAAAATTTGGTTCTACATAGTCAAAACTAAATGCTAAATCCATAAATCTTAGTAATATGCTAAATCCTCAAGTCTTAGTAATTTAATATTTTGAATTTGTTCATTAATGATCAATCATTTGTATGTAAGATTAGGAAAGAAATGCTCAAAATTAAGCTAGTGTTCATTATATGCCAAAATATATTTTAATTTAAAATAAGTTTTATACTCTTTAAATGCTATAAATACAATAATCAGTTAAGATTAATAGTTTTATACACCAAAAAAAGAAACTGATTATAGCTAAGTAAGACATATACTCACTATATTTTATTTTCTTTAGGATTGGTTTTGGTAATGTGTTCTAACTAGGCTTATGACTTCATATTATTTAATTTTTCATTTACTTTTCCATTATAAGCATTTCAAAGTATTTATATGTCAAATAAGAACTTAGTATATTACTACTTTGGCTCAATGCTATTTTAAAAGATTCTACAGTGGTTTTTGTTTTGTTTTGTAGTGTCAAGGGTACTCCCTTTTTCCATCTTTGTTAACACGCATAAATTGTACTCAATCCAAAGTTTCACTAGCCTGATGATACTTAGCCTTCCAGTCCTTCTCTTGTACCCTCTTCCTCTTCTTGTTGATCCCTACATGTTTTCCCAAACCTTCCATCTTCTACTTTCATGTCTCTTTAAAAATACCATCTCCACATTTAGAAGACAAATTTTGATTGTTTTGCTTAACTGGGGATCATTATTGATTGCCCATTCTACCCACATTCCTTCAATTGCTGTATTTGCATTTCTCTTTACAGCTAAATGCTTTTATTCCTTATGTACTCATCTCTGGATGAGTATCTCAGTTAGCTATATATCTTCCCTTTTCTGAATCTCACTGCAGTGCTAACTTAGCTTCCTTCATGTATATATATGCAGGGGGATATATAACTGATTCATGTAAGCATATAATATCACATAAATACACATTACAAAATGGGAGGCAGATGCTTTGTGCTACTTAAGAGACTGTTGTAAATTTTGTCCTAATCCCAAACCAAATTTCATGTGACAATTTTTTAAAAATTCAAGTCAGCAACTCAAAAGGTTATTATTTTGTATATCTGTTTTTGTGTGTGTGTGTGTGTGTGTGTGTGTGTGTGTGTGTGTGTGTGTGTGTTTTGGCATGAAAGTGAAGGTCAACAGACAGCTTGCAGGAATTGGTTCTCTCCTATCTTGAGAGTGCAGGTCAGCCGACTCAGTGTGAGCATTTTCCTACCGAGACATTTTGCTGTCTCTCAAACAACAATTTTAAAATAAAATATCTAACACAATACAATACAAGGTTTTGCTGAGTTGTATTGTATATGCTAAGGAAGAACAATAGGGAAGTACTAAAATTAGTTTTTTTTGTTTTTTGTACATAAGCCATTTAGTTTCTGTAAGAGAAGAGAACTTTGTATGCACAGTGAGACCACTGCAGTTCATAACAATAATCTTGAATCTGTGCTGTAGTGTTTCAGGGTTGTTCATTTATCTTGGGTGTTACACTGGCATGCATGCATGGTGCAAGAAGCATATCATATCTTTAAAACCAAAGTGGAAATGCAACATAGGCAAATGCTGCCAGAAATATCCTGACTGCATTATACATTTGATTTTAAGTTCATGTTTGGTCAGAATCCTTTTGTTGTAATTTAAAAAGTGTTGGGTGAGAGAAAGACACCATGCAACAGAGCTCACATGGAGGGTTTTTTATTAGGGGAAGGGGAATGAAAAAGGTGGGTGGGAGTCCGGCCTCAGACAGGAGCAGCAGAAGAGAAGAGAGAGGCGGGGCTTGGGGTGAGGAGACAGAAAGACAGGCAGAGAGGCAGAGGGAACATAGTGAATGTGTATAGGAGATGCTCTTTGTGGTTGCAGCTGAGGACATATCCTGTCAGGACTCCAAGGGCAGATCAGAACAGATGTCTGAATGCTAACACCTTTTACTTCTGCCAGTTTTTCAAGATCCTCCACATTCAATTATGTGGCCTGTAGTTTAAGAAGCTGGGATTTGAAAAAAAAAATTACATTATAAGAGAAGTATTGAGTTAACCAGAAGCACTGCACTGGCAGAAGGCAAGATGACAAAGATCTCCATCTGTTTGTCAGCTTTCAATGACTATGACAGAGTTCTTGGTTAGGTTACAAGGAAAAGTTATTTTGGCTTATAGTTTTTATTCTTTCAGCTGGCCCTGTTGTTTTTGGGCCTGTGATAAGGCAGACCATCATCATGGATACCATGTCAGTGAAGCAAAGCCATTCACTGTATGGGACCTGGGAGGCATCGAGAAAGGGTCAATTTATAGAGGTGTCTCAATATTCCCTTTAATGGCATACCCGCAATGACTTAACTTCCTCCCACTATGTTTCACCTAAACATTCCACCATCTTTTAATATTACTAGTCTGACAACCAAGTCTTTAGCATTTGTGTGCTTGGGGAATGGCAGCGAGTTCGAGACCAGCCTGGTCTACAAGAGCTAGTTCCAGAACAGGCTCCAAAGTCACAGAGAAACCCTGTCTCGAAAAACCAAAAAAAAAAAAAAAAAAGATCTAAACCCATAGTGAGGAGTTTCCTGGAATTATCTCCACAGCCAAATGACAGCATTTCTTAGCTACATCTGCTTCCAAATTGGGTCATATGACTAGTTCTCATCAGAGAAATCTGAACAGATGTTATTTATATTTTTTGAGCAAAGTAAATAAGAAACCATTTTTTTTCTCTCCCCTTGCTTCTTTGACAGTTTTTTCATCTAGACAGAGGCCACTTCTTTACAAATCTGAATTGATACTTCTAATTCAAATAGTTCACACCTTATCCCAACTCTGTAAATTTTTTTGTTGGTGTTGGTTTCTTGAAACAGGGTTTCTTTGTGTAGCTTTGGAGCCTATCCTAGAACTTGCTTTGTAGACCACAGAGGACTGCCTGTCTCTGCCTTCTGAGTGCTGGGAATAAAGGTGTGTACCACCACTGTCCCCCAACTGTGACTTTTAACCTAACCCATTTCTAATCTTAACTTGATTTATAGCACTTTTTCTTATAATGCAATCTTTTATGAAGTATATATCTTCATGTTTTAAACTAAAATGATTTTCCTTGCTAAAACAATAATTTCTTCACCGCAAGGAAATTAACATATTACAGCTACATCCCAAGCCCTATCACAGTGCATATTTCATATCAAACATGTGATGAAGTTTGTATAATGATTGAATGGTTAAAATGTTCATAGTGAGAAAATGAATGTGCCTTTTTTATTGAAAATGGATTTTTTCTACACAATATATTCTGATTACAGTTTCCTCTCACCCAATTCCTCTCAGATACTCTCCACCTCCCCACAATCCCAATCCACTCTCTTTATTTTTCTCTTATTAGAAATCAAGCATGCATCTAAATAAATTAAAAACAAGATAAAATAAATCCAAACAAGAATAGAACAAACAAGCAGACAAACAAAAGAGTCGAAGAAAAAGCATGAGAAACACATACAGATGCCTCTGGAGACACCCACATTTAGACACAGAAATCCCATAAAACCCCAAAACCAGAAACAAAAAATATAAACAAAAGACATGTACGGCTAAAAAAATGCCCCGACAATGCATTATGAGACAAAAATCTTGAAAATACTATTTAGTTTATTTCATGTTGACCTTCTACTGCTTGGCATGGGGCCTGCCCTTAAGTCTGGTTTGTACACATAATGAGACTCTCTTGGAGAAACTATTTTTCCCTTTGCTAATGGATAAATTGAAGCCAGCTTCTGGGTCGGGGATGGGATTTGTGTTCTCCTCTCAGTGATGGGACCCCATGTATGCTGTCACAGTCTCTGTGGGTTCCTATGCATGTGTCTTAAGGAAGAATAATATGGTTGTCAAAGGGATGCTAGGAAGCTCCCGGAAAAATATATTTGTTTTTCCACATAGCAGTAAGCTTAAGGTGGATGAAGACTTTTAAAAATTTTGGTGCAACTCCTGGGTCTGTGGTGACAAGGATGGGGTACTCAGCGGTGTCTGTGCAACCCCTCAAGAATAACTACAATGGCTGTGATTTGTTCTGCAGCTGTCAGATGTGAGAAAATCAGAAGGGTACTTGGGCTGTCTCGGGCATTTTTTAACTTTCAAGACACAGAGAAGGTTGAAAATTATGACATTTAAATAACAAAAATTAATGTGCTTTATAATACCCTTGTTCTCGAACTCCTCTATTTCACTGTCTGCAAATGGAAATCCTCAGTTTTGGCACAATATCACAACTTGAGGTGGGCTGTTTCCACTCCTGTCCCTCCGTTTGTGATAACTTGCTTGTTTTTATTCTTGTTTCATAGGATGGACAGGTTAAATGAATATTCTCATAATTCATTTGACCTACAATCTCTATTAAACTCCTTTCCTGGAGATTTGGAATTTAAGCAGATCTTCAGTGACATTGGTGAACAGATGCAACAAAATGCTACCAGGTAACTATTGCTATCACTTAAATTAAATTGTCTCCATGTTTTATTCACATAAAAACTACCTTTTTTGGAGTCAGGATTATCTCTTATATTGTGTTTTTTTCCATACCATTAGTTTCTTGAAAGATACTGATTATTGATTTTGAGGCTAGTTTTGAACTCAGACATCTTCCTGCCTCGCCTCCCAAGTGTTGGGATTAAAGGATTGAGCCAGCATGCCCCGCTCTAGATTTTCATACATTTAGAAGTTAGCATTGCTGCTTGGGCATAAACTTAAATTTGAAGATAAATGATCAAAATAAAATGATGGTGTCCAGTCATAAGTGCTGTAAACAAAGCCTGAAAAAGGAATTCTTTTAGAGTAAGGGTTACGCATCCCTGTAACCCAGTACATTGAGGGAGAGGCAGCAGATAGAAGTATATCTAGGGCTAACATAGTAAGATACTGATGCAAAAGAAGGCAAACATACCTTGAAATGAGTTTTTAAGATCAATGCTTTAAGGAAAATATTTTCTTTTCATTTCAATAGGGAAAGTTAAACTTCTTATTTTTAATTTGGTTTTGTCTGTATATAATATATAAAATATAAATATATATTAAAGGTAATATACGTATGACATAACCATACTCTTAAGTGTAGATATGTAATATAAAGTAACTGAGATTTTAGTATAATTGGTTTATGTAACATTTCTATTATGTATTATATGACAGAGTTTCTAACCTAAAGAAATTAAAAGAACCTTAAATAAAATAGATTAAGTCATTCATTTAAATTACAAAGCAACTTATATTTTTAATAGAAATATTTTTTTAAATACCAACTTCTCCCATAGTAATTTCTTTGGCCCTGTCAAAGCAAAGCAAGACAGTGAATGATATTTTTTGTTATATATTGCTTCATTATTTGCTAAATTGCTCTCTATTTCCTCTACTTGATCAATAAAAAATCATATTTAAGAGTATAATAATGATTAAAACTTTTTCATTCATAAATTATTATTTAGGTTAAAATTGATGTTGATTTTACAAGAAAGCATAGTATAGGATACAATTCTTACATTAAAAACCTTTTATTGCCCATCTATTAAAAATGAACCTATAGCCTCAAGTGACCATTGATCTTCACCAGGGATAGAAGAAGGAAGTAGCTGTATGTGCTGCATACTACATTTAGAATCAAGTCTATTTTTCATCAAATTCAATTATGTTTTTATTATACTCTAGAGAATAAACATAATAGTATAGAGTACATATATTTTCAAAAATAAAATACTGAATAATAACTATGGTTCACAAGAGTATAAATCATTTATGCACTCATGTATTGCCTTCTAACAGAATTGCTTTTAGAAAATTGTATGTCATGGCGAATCAGTTATACCACACTTACACTTCAGTAGTTGAATTACCCTTGGCATTTCCTATTCTAACAGTTGTATTTATCTCCTGATGGTGTACACTGAATAAGTAATGAACATCTGTATGATATGGGTTTCCCACATTGCTTTTGGAAGAAAAAAGACATTAGCAATTCACTCTTAAATACAGTATTTTTTTTCTTAGACTTGAATTTTCCAAGCTGTATTTCTTACAGTGACCCCGACAACTTAAGTGTGAATTCCTTTTACTTCTTCTTAATATCATCAAGTTTTATGAGCCACAGGGTCTTTCACCTTCCCACAGCAGTGATTCACCAGAATGGACAGTGTGCCCAGAGGTCACTGAACCTTCACCTGCCTTTGAAGCCATTCTTGCGTTAATTTCTTCATTTCCACTCAAACCAAAGCTATGTGACTTGTACTTTTGAGATAGGAGACAATGACAATGAATTATTTACTTAAACACACATCACAACTCATAACAAAGTATAAATAAACTTTTGTGGATTAGTAGTGTGAATTGTACCCACAAAAAATTGAATAAGAGAGTTACACAAAGCCTTGAATAGTTTTTGAGTTGACTGAAACATATGAGTTTAATAAGATACAGAGGGACAGAACACTTGGCAAATACTGTTTATTTAAAACCTTACTTTATTCTTCTGTTTCCTAATTTTGGACAACTTGTATGTAGCTCATGGATTGAATTTTGCTGACACTGATGTAATTGTCTACTGTTTTCATCTCAGGAAAACACAAGAAGTGTTACCTGGGAAAATACCATTTGTCTTAGTTCAAGAAGTGGAAGATGTGATGGAGTGAGGATATTGTGAGAGAATATTGTATAAATGCTTTGTATAATTTAACCATAGGAGGATACATACCCCATATATCCCCTTATATTTCACATGGCTAGTATTTTTAGTTATAAATTTTTCTTTACTGTTTCTGACATGTTAGTTTGCAAGTCTAGAGAGATGAAGTAACTGAAAAAAATATTTAAATAATCAACAAACCTTGGGCTTCTCATAAAAAAGCCATTTATCTGATGGTGTGCACAATTTGTTTTGTCACCATGGCAAATTATGTAAAATGAAAGTCATTTCAAAGAATACTATATTGTTATTGTAATCCTGGTAGTAGTTTTTCATTTATGTAATAATATCAAGAGGAGCAAACTAGTATTTGGTCCTTTTTTTTAGCTGCCTGCGTTTGCTGTTTGGTTTGGACTTCATACTCCGTATGGTAGAATTCTTATCATGTCTCCCAGCCTACGAAGCAAGACTAGTCTACAAGAAAAGACAACAGAAAGGTCTACCTGTTTCTTTATCACCAAATCTAGTCAGACTTACAAAGCCACATTGTCCTTTCTTCTAACCAAGCTGTTGTATCATTCTTCTACTGACATGTATGCTGGGCTTAAGCAGCTCAGTTGCCTCAACTTTCTCTGGCCCAGTTCAGAGTTCCCACTTTTTAATTTTCTCCAATCATCTCAGTGAGGCTCTGAACATGAAGTCTGGTGCTACCAGTAGACAGAGGTGGCACTGAGTAGAAAGACTCTGAAAAAGATGAATGTCAGTCTTTCTCACTTTCTCATCATTTCTTGCTATCTCCTCACTATCATCTGCTTTCTCATCTGTTGAACAATTTTTTTCTGCCTTAGTTACTTCTTTATTGTTGTGTAAAACACCATGACCAAGATAACTTATAAAAGAAAGCTTTTAATTGGGCTTATAGTTTCTGGGAGTTAGACCCCATGATGGCAGGAAAAGGCACGATGGTACGAACAGCTAAGAGTTCACATTTAGTTTGCAAGCAGGAGGTGTGAAAGAAACCACTGGGAATGTTGTGAGTCTTTGAAGCCTCAAAATTCTCTCCTGCCCCATGACCTAACTCCTTTAACAAAACCACACCTCCTAATCCTCCCTAAATAGTTACATGAATATGCTCCTTGGTATTTCCATTGTTCTGGTCTTGTTTATGCAAATATTATTTATGTATTCAAATATATGAGTCTATGGAGGTGTTTTATTCAAAACACCTCTCTCTCTCTCTCTCTCTCTCTGTCTCTCTCTCTCTCTCTCTCTCTGTCAGCTGTATTATTTTGAGTGTCTAGGATGGTGCTTACTCCTTAGCTCACGGTGTTACCTGTATATCTTCAACTCCTCTTTTGCCTTTACCCATAGCTCCATGATGATTGTTAAGAAATTCATTCAAATAACTTGAACATTTCAGATGTTTTAACAATTATAAAGTGAGAGCAATTATATAAGCCAAGGTGAGAGCAAGAAGAGAGAAACTAATAAGTCTTAGATTATGGTCCCCATTTGCTGTAAAGAAAAGTTTCTTTGATGGGTGGTAGTTATATTTATCATCCAATACAAAGTGATTAGCCCTGAAGCCATATGCACACAAACAACAAGGGATGCAACATATCCTATTCATATATTTGTACACGTGTGTGTGTGTGTGTGTGTGTGTGTGTGTGTGTGTAACAATAATAAAAGAGGCTATCAGTTTAAGAGGGGAAGTCAGGGAAGGATCTGGAGGGAGGAAAAGGAAGGCAAAAGTGATGCAATTCTAATTTTAAAAGTATTAAAAATAAACAATAAAAATAATAAGTAACTTTTTCTTTGAGCTTGCTATATGCTTTCTGCCAGGATTTATGAAATAAAAATGTAAAAATTATTCTAACATTCTATGTTAATTGGCATCATCTGCAAAAATATGCTTCTTTGATGAGTTTTGACAGGTATACTAAATTATGAGTATTACAGTGAGTCATTAGGAATCAGTTTATTACTATGGCTACTTAGCAGAATTGAGTAATAGGGTTTCTCTCAATGCCTATGACCCATAGGTTCTTGGCCCCAATAACAGTGAAAGGTATGGATTTTTTTCTTGTGGAGTTAGCCTTGACTCTAATCAGCAAGTTGTTGGTTGATCGATGCTATCCATACTACTATGTATGAGTCGACAATCCTTTCTAGGCCGATGGTTGTCCCTTGCCATTAAAACTGGATAAGACTGATGATTACTGTTGTCCTTAGTAATGTTCATAGCATGTTCCAACACTATGAAAGCTAGCCAGTATAGCTGTAGCTTCCAGGTGGGTTTATTTTCTGTGTCCTGTGGCTCAATGGTGATTAATACAGGAAACTATTTTCTGGACGCAGGAGGCCTGTTGCACACATAAACTCACAGTGATAATAACAGCCTCCACAAGCCAGACAAAAATGTCAGCATGGAGAGTTCGGTGGAGGTAGAGACAAAGTTTCATCTCTTGCTAAGGAGCTATTGGCAATTGATGGCTGCTAAAAGAGTAAGAGTGAGTTTATTTAAGACTGTGGGTCCTCATTGGTGGACCACACTCCAGTGAAGTATATGAACAGCACAAAATGTACTTTAGGTGTTTAAAAAATAAAGGATGAAAAATTGGGTGGGTGTAGAAGGAGGGATGGACCTGGCATAAGTGAGGGAGGGAGGGGGTCTATATGATTGAAATATATGAACTTCTCGAAGAACCAATAAAACTGAGAAAAATATTCTAACAGCCATTGAAAACATGCATATAACTATTTTAACCTTAGGTCTTATTCCGTAAGTTTTACTTTCTTTTTCTATTTTATGACTTGATTGAAAAGATTGAATTTTAAATCAGGCAGAAGTGTGGACTTAGGTTATAAGAGTTTATGTTGTAATTTCTTTCTTATATTTCAATATCCTTTCATATAATGTCTACTACAAGGACAAGCCATTTCAATACTTCTTGTAGGACTTAGTGGCTTCTTCCTGCGTACTTCCTTAGCACATTTGTACACACCTCTTAGTGAAGTCTTACTGGATTGTGGTTATTTACTAACAGGTATGTCTATCTAGCTAGACAGAACTCCTTTACTGATGGGATGCTGTCCTACTGTATGTATCTCTAGTATATATTTCAGCCATAGCCATGTATTCATCATTGAGTTTATGTCTCCTAGATACAGTACCCATTAATTAAGCATTTTTTTATAGTAAAGAAATCTAGGAGTGTATGCTGAATGAGAAAATTACTCTAAAGTTCTTTTAAAAAGCATACTCAGGGTTTAGGAGAAATGACTCAACAGTTAAGAGCATGCTATATTCTTGGGTTTGTTTCTTAGTACCCACATCAAGCGAGACACAACCTGTAACTCTAGTTCCAAGAGATTTGATGCCCTCTTTTAACTTCTTCGTATGTACATGGTGCATAAAAACTCATTTAGATCTACACTCAACAGATAAAAAAAAATCTTGAAAAGCGTTCTGATGCCATACCTAATAATATGGTTCATGAATTTGTTTATGAACAGCTTTCAGAAATGCACCCATTTGTCTACATTATTAACATGGATGGATAATTAAATTATTGGAATTAAAGTACAAGATACAAGTTTATTGATAAATATTGAAAAGGGGGTTGGTGAAATGGCTCAAGCAGGTAAAGACTCTTCCTTTGTAAGTGTGATGACCTAAGTTCTATTTGGAAAATCCACAGTTGAAGGAGAAAATTGATTCTCATAAATTGTCTTCTGACCTCCACATGTGTACTATGGCACACTGGCACTGGTACACACACACACACACACACACACACACACACACACGTGTGCCTCCCACCATAATAGTAAATAAATTGTTAAAAACAGAAATGTTGAAAATATGAAGAGACATGGAGTACAACAGTATAAGTATATACTTATGCACTCAGTATCCAGTTTGAAAAATAAGATGTTATCAATCCAACCAAAGGTGTCTATGTACCTCCTCCCAACTTTATCCCCTTCCATCCCCTCCCTGCCAGAGAGCAGTGGGGACTGTCTAGTACATTTCCTCACATGCTCACTCCCCGACTTTGCAGACCTCCACATGATATGGCATTGTATAGAACACTTGCAAATTATTACATGAACATTGTCGTACTGTGCCCTTTCATATTTATCTCCTCATCAGGATTATGTTTGTTACATATTTTCATGTTAGAAAGTGTAATTCTACTTTAAATCATGATTCTATTCTTCACTTAATCATTCTATAGTTGATTCAAAAGTATTTATTTTTCCAATGACATTAATATTAGAAAATTAGCTAGAAAGATGCTTTAAAAATCTCACTAACTCATGTTGTTGGTTTGAGTCTTTGGACTATTTAGAGAGGCAAGTCCAAAATACTTGTTAGACTCTTTAAATTTTGTAGTAATATTTGAGTTCTAACAATAAATGTGCTTACTATATTACTGTTTGTTGAATTATATTGGTAATGTTTTCATAACTGGCCTTGATACTAAAGGAAATTTGAAATAATTTATAGTTAGGAAATATTTAATTCAAAAATAACAACATATGCTATTTAAGAAAATTTAGACTAAGACTTATTGACAGGATTACTACACATTCTTGAAAATATTTGAGATACAGTTTTTGAAAATACTACCTTTAAAATATTTAAAGTCAGTTTTTTGTTGTTGTTGTTGTTTAATTTTTTACCTCAATTAAAGGAGATGCTTTGTTAGGTAAGTCTACATACTTGCTTGGGAGGTTGAAAATAGCCTTTTATATAATAATCTGACATGAAATCAAATAATTGAGTTTTTAAAACAAGATGCATGATCTGTGAATGACACATTGACAAGATATTTTGTAGGCGACTAAAAGCAAAACCAAGTGAAAGGAAGTGCGGCTGCTTTAGTTCCTAGCACTGAGGGAGGCTACTTGCAATGCCACTGCTTAATCCCTTTATCAGTGTTTGGACAAATTACTCAACTACACAGCACTCTGGAGACTTTACATGCTTAGAAGCACAGTTCTGTTCTCTGCTGGGATTCAGATGTTGGAGATAAGCTGAGAGGGCCAGTGCTGACTGAAAGCAGTGTGAGAGCAGTTGCTTCTCTTTCCCATTTCCATTGCTGCACTCCCTTGGGCTTCACTGAATGAAGCAGGTGAGGATGCTATAACTCAGATTTTTGATAAAGGATGTCTAGACTTGGTATGTGTGCCTAGGGCATTGTGCTCTCAGACCATAGACATGCTTAAACCAGTCAGAAAATGCATGGCTGTCCCTTGTCAGACCTAGAACTGGCATTTCTGAGTAAGAATGCCCCAGCAGGAAAGTCAGCAGCAGTGGCCAGAGTAGGGTTGCCTTTCTTTTGTACTTTGTTTTCATGAAAGGGCTCTTTGATCCTCAGATTTTATTTTATTTTTTCAAGGTAACTTCACTTAAATTTGCTCATATTCAGAAGTCTCCTGCAAAGCTTTATTCTGGGAACCCACACCCAATAAATTCCAGGGACATGAACGACAGCTTTAATAAACAGAATTTGGCCTCTAAACCCCACATGTTCCTTTTGTGTGAAACCTGTAATTAATAACAATTACTTATTAATCATTAGCTGCTACTTTCAAAGCAGTAACTTTATCTTTTACCAACAAATGTTCCTTAATAGTATTAAGAGAAATTTGCATAACTGTCAGATTTGGGTGAATTCAGTGTCAAAGTTATCTATTCCCATTGACATTCTTGTTCTTGTACTTTAGATATGCCACCATCAAGTGGGTCACAAGTTTGCCCCGTAGAAGATTTGTAAGCATAGATACAAAAAATTATGTATGGATATTAATACAACAGTACATTTATAAATAGAAATTTTAAAACAGATATGTATTATAATATTTAATTGTATTTTTGAAAACTTTTTGTAAATAAGGCAGCTCATCTTTGTGCTGTATAAATATTGAGAAAAAGAGAAAAAGTAAAATTTAAACTTCATCCCATCATCACACACATACTACTAACATTTGTTTTCTTTTCTTCCAGCCTTTTTATGTACACTTTCTATGTATTAGAGTTTTGTAATGAACTGGATGTCAATAGAAATATTTAACTGTACTAATATTGTGTATATGGTGTTATAACTTCCAAGCTTTCTGTAATTGCCCCTGACTTTTTACTCTTCCATTGATTGAAGTCTTCCATGTACCATCATTGGCATTTGGTATATAATGTATGGTTCTGACTTTCAAAGCTATCAGGTGTATTCTCTGTTTCTGTCTACTATCAACAGTGCCATTATAGTGTTACATCTGTGCCTCATGTATATTTTAATGCAAGGGAAATTCTATTGTGTCTCCAAGTAATTGGATATTTAATATTTCTCCAATTACAGTATTTCTATGAAAATTTGAACTGTTTCCAACTATGAATGAAAATGAATTAACACATCTCTTGCTATTTTAATATCATGTGGACATTGTATAAAGTTATAAATTTAGATTATATATAATCATATAACATGTAAACATTTAAGAACCTACAATATTGTGAGATGGTATTGTGTATATCCTCCCGAATAATTATTTTTCTTCTTTGTAGCATAGAGCATTGCATTGAAGAAATACAATCTGAAGTAAACAAACTCTGTCCAGATGTGCAGCTGCAAACAACAAGTGACTGCTTCAAATGGCTAACTAGCTATAACCATAATTCATCTAAGTCACCGTCCATTCCCCATGGAGATTTGATAAAATTCCTCAAAATAATGGTAAAAAAATTACTTGTTTTATGGTAGACTGGGGAGAATGAAATGCAACTGGTTGAATTACAATATGTAAATATTTATTGTATTGGTAATAATATCCTGTCTCATATAGGAGCTTTGGTTTGGGGGTATGTTTTTGTCCTTTTGTTTTTGTTGTTGATTCAGTTTCTTTCCCCCATCAAATTTTGTGAGGTATTTTTAATTTTAGCACCAAAGTAAGTTGTGTGGAAATGGAAGTTAAATATCCTCCTTTCTGGGTGAAAACTGATCTGCACTTGTCTCCCAAGAAGTTCATCCTCATTAGATTTTGTGTTCTTTCCCAATGCTAATTTTCCCTGTGCTCACAACCAAAGACAGTAAGAGCCCCTTAGCTTGTATGTATGAAGTGGCCTTATTGATCATTCTCTGCACTCCGAGCTTAACAATAATAGCCACTTTTGTTTTGGTGGAAGCAGAAATGTATGCAAGACCACTGTTAATTGTTGATCATTCTTCATTGCTGGCCACCTACTTGAAAGACATTTTTTGTTAACTTTCAACAAGAATAGTTGCTATTAAACCCACATCTATGGGGGTAACCGGGTTACAAAAACAGATTCTCATAGAAACAGCACAATTTTTAGGAAGCAGAATTTCTTTAGCTATGGTTTTAATTTAATTTAGTAGGGAGAAAAGGACTGTTTTTGTCCTGACATCAAAAACATTGACCAAAGCAGATGTGGAAAATATCTTGAGGTTTAAGTGGTTTAGGATGACAAAATCAGATGAAAATAGTTTTTTTCTGTTTGTATTATTACAGTTGTCTCTTTCATGCTTATGAAAGACAAGGAAGATAAAGGAAGACTATGTGCCCTGAAGCCTTAACCTTTTAAGTAATTCCTCTCACCCATTATCTTTTAAAGGTGGATCCTTGACGAATAAATATGGATGTAGTTATTCCTTTCATTTCTATTAGGAGCCACGTGTATTGTATTTCACTAACATTGATGTCCTGATACTTTCTCATTTAATTAAAAGCAAAGGATTTCAATTATCTTAACCTGTCACACATAAAGTCATTCTCTATTCACTGCAAAGGCCACCTTCATTTTGCTCAAACTCAAGTTTTGTCTTGATTTTGCATAATTTATCATGTTATTTTTGAGGAATAACCATGTTATCAAAACAAATTCAAATTAAAACAACTATCAATTTTTACATGCTAATTGTGTCAGTCTCAATGGCATTTTCATGTCTTTTTTGTACAAAAATTATTAATTAGGTAATAAACTGGTTCTTACAATGATAGTTATACTGATATTGTTTTTAAATTTTAAGTAATTATACGAACATATGTTTTGAACCTCTATAGTCTATTGGTATTTGTTTACAAATCAAATATTTACAAGTATTAGCTGGCTTAAGAGAAACATGAAGCTGAGATGTTACTATATAACACATCTGATTCATTGAACTGCCTTAGTGCTGCTGGGTCTCAGACTCTGTGAGAACATTTCCCTTCTAGAAATATGTGAAGAACTAGATAGTATGAGTCGTGAGAGCTGTGGAGAAGGCTCCAAATGGAGAGGAGGAGGTTGAGCGTCTATTCTCAGTCATGTCCCTTACTCCAGAACTCAAGTTTCTAGCATGTATCATGTATCTTTATCCAAAAATTAGGCTTTTAGAGCTTTCAAGTATCAGTATCATGGAGTTTTCCTTGTGAGTAAACCAGAGAATATATGGAAATGCTTTTTATATAATAAAATATGGATATTTGCCATAATTATTAAAATAGCACATTAAGTGTGTATTGCAGTACTTAAGAGTGAATGAGAGCCAATTCCAGGAATTTGTCTAGTTGTTAAATTCTGAATTACACATAATACCTGTGGTATCCTTATCAATAAGAAATTTCAAAGCTGGCCTAATTTTTATGCCCCTGGAGCCTTGCTTCCATTTCTTTTCTAATCAGCTTATTTCTACTTACAGAATATGGACTAATTTCAGTATTGACTGAAATGAATGTAATTAGGGAAGTTGTCATGTATAGAAAATGTGTGTGCAATTCAGAGTCCAAGAAGAAAGTAATTTTTTTCTTTTTATTATCCCTAATTACACTCACCATTGTTTTCTACCAACACAGAAAGATTAAAGAAATAATTCCCTAGCATCTTTTGGGGAACCTTTCTGGAGATTTCTTTATCCCATTTTGAGTTAGTGATTTCTTTGGAGAGAACAGAAATATTCTCAGATTAATTTTTAAAGTAAAAATCTTTCTTAACATGGTTCTCAGCAATGAATTTAAATGAAAGTTGAAATCTTCCAAAGTATTAAATTTTATTTCTCAGGATGGCAGCTATTAGTAACCCCTAGGGCACCAACTATATTTAATGATTTCTTTTCTAGAATTATCTTAAGGATTGTATTTTGTTTGAGGTTTTATAGTAAGTATATTCACTCAGGCAGGAATTAATTGTGGTATGATCTTGATTTTTTTTGTCTTAGGAACTCATTTTTCTCCAATAGCTGTATATTTAGAAATGTTTAAGTTTCAGCTTTGCTACAGTTCAGGTTACAGAGAATATTGAAAGCTAAAAGGTATATGTCCAAAAGTATAATTTAACAGATAGCCAATTGACTGGACTTTACAAAATTAAGTCTATATAAGTTAAAACATTCTATACTGTCAGCATTGATTAAATTCCAAATGCAACAAAAAATATGTTGAGGAGTGTAGGACAGTCATTCTAAATTTTAATCAATTATGAAATTATGCATTTAGGAATTGTTTTGTTATACTTAGATTTAATTGCATGTCTACTGTTGTAATTTACTTTTATCAGAAAGATTTATTGAATAATGAAGAAAATCAAGAAGAAATGATCCTGGATTTACTCTGGGACCTTTCCTGTCAGAGCAGCATCTCATTCCTGTCGCCGCTAGGTGGGACCTCCTTCTGTTTCCTGTCCAGGACCTCTCTTCATTCTGTTGAAGATTACTCTTCTGTGGATGTGAAGTCTGTTTGGGATGATGTAAGATTACATCTTCGACGCTTCTTAGTGAACAGGCTAGAAAGCCATAATGAGATCAACAATTCACAGCAAAGAGTTGAACTGAAAAATCAATGTATGAAGCAACTCCTCCTGCTCTACCCAGAATCAGAAGTGCTTATCAAGTACCAAAACATCCAGAAGAGACTGCTGGCTAAATTTCTACAGAACTCCTTCCCTTCCTGCAATAGAGATTCAGATTTAGAAGTAATTGCTCATGGATACCAAAGTACAATGCCCATGTTATATTCAATGATAAAAGAGGACTTTAACATACTATGTGAAATTTTAGCTCCCTCCTCAATAGTGCAGTTCATTAAAGAAACTTACCTGGATACAGTTACAGAAGAAATGGCAAAAATTCTTGAAAATTTTTGTGAGCTGCAGTTGAAAGAAAATGCTGTTTCTGGAGTTAAAACAAGCAAGAGCTGCAGCAAACACAGTGGAACCGTGCATGCTTTGGGTCAGTGACATTTACATTTCTGTTTGATTTTATATCAGCCTTTTACTTCTTTAATTTTTCAGGCTTTTCTGTTGTCAATATATGGTGAAATCCCATTGCAAGCCTCAAAAGAAACCAGAAAGTAGATGAAATGAGCTTTCATGTCATGCATTCCTCTTTCTGGAAGTGTAGTCATGGAAGTGGTTCATCTCTTGTTAAACTGTTAGTGATACTGAAATTGGACGTCATATAAAAATGAAGTTTTGGTTTTCTGGAATGCATACAATAAAGGATAAAGTATTATCTAAAAGAAACTCATGTGCGCTAACACATATAAATACATGTACAAATATATGTACAACAGAAGAGCATGAACTTCACTGTATCATGTCTTCCAAAGTCAAAACAGTATTACTTAATAGGAATTGTTGAAAGTTGGTTTAATTTACATTAACTAAAGAAGTAAAAAATTACATTTTAGTCAGCCAATTCTAATACATATAAATTATAAATATTAATCATAAAATATTGTTATTGCTTAGGAGATATAGTGCTTTATAAATCATTTTAAAATCTCTATTTTATATTATAACATATACAATAAAATATGGCTTAAAATTCCTAATTTTATTCAAAATATTAAAGTATAAAGAAAAGAGAATATAATACTATAATAAACTTTCTTATTATGGTTTTAATTTTGCACTAGTGGAGAAAAATAAAAATAAAAATATGATTGTTTTATTATCAGTCATGAAACACTAAGGAATTTTTATTTCTAAAGGAGTTCCTGAACTATATTATTTAAGTACTTGAAAATTATTTATTGGTGATTTATTTATGTGTCAGTTGACATTTTCTATATACTGTGTATTTTACTTATCTTTGTTAATAAAATACCAGAAGACCAAATTAATGTGATAGATTCATTTTCAAGTAAGTTAATAATGAAATATGCAACTAGATTAGAAGTCTAGAATAAATTTTATAACTCCCCCCCATGTTTTACATGAATTATACTTTTTTTAGTCAAAATTTTTCATGTATTTTACATGTCAACCACGGTTTCCCCTCACTCCTCTCCTCCTGTTCCCTCCCCTTCTCCCATCTATCCCTGTATCCTCTCCTCTTCTGTCTCTGTTTAGGAAGGGGCAGGCAGAGGCCTGCCCCTTGGGAGTTTTGATTCCCCATGGGAGTCAAAAACATTGCATATCAAGTTGAGGCAGGACCAAGTGCCTCCCCCTGCATCTAGGCTGGGTGAGTCAACCAAGCACAGGGGATAGGTTTACAACATCCATCTAGAATGCTACAAAGACTGGTTCCAAACCTTGTCCCTAGGTGTTTAGTACAATTGAAGGTATTCAGCAAGTAAACCTCACCCCAGCCCCACCCCAGAAAGCCAGGTGAATGGCCTATGCCTATAACTCTAAAACCCAGAAGGCCGAGGCCTGTCTGAGATACATTACATAGAAAGACTCTTTCAGAAGACAAACCAAAAACAGTAGTGCCCCTCTGTGATCTGGGTTGCTAGGAAAGCTGAGCCAGAAGATTCAAAAGTTCAAGGCCAGTCTGGAAAACTTAACCCTGCCTATAAACAAACAAACAAATAAATATATAAATAAACAGATCAGTACCTGAGTGGCAGAGTGCTTGAGTACGAGGAGCAAAGTCCTAGGTTCTGTCCACAGTTCCACAAAACTAGGAGTCAAACAAAATGAACCTGCAGGGCAAAGAAGGCCCTTCTGGAAGGCAAAGCGATGATACTGTTTTAGACAGAAAACGTTTGCAAAGTAAGCCAATAAAGGCCACCCGACACCCTTAGCCGTCCTATGCATCCAATGGCTGTGACCAAGAAAGGGTGAAGTTTGTCTGTGTGAGCACATAAACCACAGGCCGGAAGAAGAGTTAGCTGAGTGCTGCTCCAGGGGAACCTCTCCTCAAGAAGTGAGGAGCTCCACGGCCAATTACCCTTAATAGTTCCTAGTTTTCCACAACTAGAAGGTACATCTGTAAATAACCCAAAATGGTAAATAAATGAGGTAAAATAATACCACCAATGCCTATTAAGTCATCAGTTTTTTTTTTTTTTTTAATAGTAACCGTCCAGGTTTTTTATTTGTATTTGGTTGTTGTACTACTGTTGTGAGTACTGATAAATTATATTGTTAATGAGCACTTGTCCCCCAAATTTTTTATACCATAGTTGCCATTTTCAGGGGAAACACTGGTATCTATACCTTGTTTACAATTACTTCAAGTATTAAGAAGGTAAAAAGTACAGTTTGATTATAGGTCAGCTTTTCTAGCTTTGCAGACTGATGCTACCCTTTGCTTTGGAAACTTTGCTAAGTAATTTAACCTTGGAATCTTTGACAGTCTAGCATTGGATAATATCCAAGGATCCTTTCAAGTCTAAACTTTTTCTGGTTCTACAATTAGAGTGTAGGCCTACAGTTTGACACCAAGAATAACCAAATTTGTTCTCTCTATGGACAGAGATACATTAACTGGCTAAGTACATGGCTTTGTGTGTCATGTAAAAGATGCAAAAGACTCCTGTAATATTTGTCTCTGGGAGAGCTGTCTTGCCTTAAGCAACATGCAAACTGCCATTGTCATGTTCTTGTATTTGTCATAGGAAGGAAGGTAGGAAGAGGAGTGAACAGACGTTCCCCATCTAGCTTACATCTTAAAGTATTCCTAGTAATGTATTTTTTTCTTCCCTTTTATCTCATAACCATGTTTGTTTCATGTTTAGTCTTTAGGGATTTTTAATGGGAGGATTTTTGAAAAGGTAATGGAAAATTAGGACCACATACAAGACTTAGACATACAGTTATTAGTCTGTATTGTTTGTTGATTAGAAAGGATCCGGTATGCCTAAATCCATATAAGGATTCAGTATGCTTAAGTGCATATGTGTTTTCTCTGGCATTATTTAAATCAGACAAGGCAAGGATTAATAATGTGTGTTTTGCCCACAGAAGAGCAGTGTTTTCTGCAAGGGTACAGATAGTAGGCAAGATCAGAACTGTATGAATTCTTCTCTGAGTAAAAAGTGATTCCTCAGGACTAGGCCTCGTAAAGCACCCAAAAAAGTGACCCTAGGTCACTGATTTAGCTCGGAGAGCATTAGACTGGAGCAGTATTATCCCAAAGACATGTTTAAGGGTTTCATAAAGTCTTACAATACAGTAGTTATACATGTTGAAGCTTCCTAAGTAATCTTAATTCATCTGTCAGCATGTAAAGGAAGTAAAAGTGCTATGTTTGTTCCTACAATGTCTGTATTTATCTGGCATACTCAGTACCTTCTTCAGCTTTCTGGAATATTCCCATCTGGCTATACCATCAGCAGAACAAAAGATTATTTTCCTCTTGGGGGCATTCAGCCACAAACCTCATTCCCTTCTATAGTGCTTATTCTCCACAACAGGTGTTCACCAAGGGACCAATCTACAGGCAAGGGATGTAGACTTAAATCTTACTTGTCTGTATTTACCCTCTTTAGAGATGACAGGATCAAATGTGATCTCCATGAGATTTACATTAGGGTTTTTTTTTTTTTTATGTTCAAAGTCGTCAGCTATTCTAATTCTTCAGTTTTGTTTGTTTTGTTTTGTTTTCGAGACAGTATTTCCCTGTGTTACCCTAGCTGTCCTGGAATGAGCTCTGTAGACCAGGTTGGCCTTGACCTTACAGGTGCTAGGGTTGAAGGCATATGTCACCACTGCCTGGTTTAATTTTTCAGTTTTGATAAAACACAAATAACTTAGAATACATTTTATAGAAAATACTAGAATGAGATATGAGATTTGCCAAATGCAAAATTATATTTTGTTTTTTCCCTTTGATCATTTTTTTAGAAGGGGCCACCATGTGTGTGCCCCTCACTCTTTTTTTAAATTTTTTAGTATGTATACAACATTCTGCTTCCATGTATATCTGCACACCAGAAGAGGGCACCACCAGATCTCATAACGGATGGTTGTGAGCTACCCTGTGGTTGCTGGGAATTGAACTCAGGACCTCTGGAAGAGCAGCCAGTGCTCTTAACCTCTGAGCCATCTCTCCAGCCTCCCAGCACCCCCCCCCCTTGCTTTGATCATCTTCATTTTCCTTAGTACCTATCAACAGATGTGTAAAGTCACTCATAGAGTAAACACTTTCTGTGTGTTTTATTCAACACTAACCAGTTTCTGAACTAGTAAAACATTTGATTCTTAGGTCATCCCTGAGTTGTTGAGTTTTATCCCTGTTTCCTAGATACAGAACCTAAGATTTTAGCATGTTAATTACTTTGCCATAATATTCAAACACATTATGACTAATATGATAATCTTAACTACTAAGGCTCCTTGTCTTAAATTAAATGAGTTGATTAGTAAAACAGAATATCTCTAAAATGTGAAGTTTTTATTTTAGCTACTTGGTATGCATTGGTTTGGGGAAAACAAACTTTCTGTTACTTTAATGTACATTCGTTTCTCTACGAACAAACTTAAACTGTGAGTTTTGGAACTATGACAGTAATGATGTGCAAGTCACAGCACTAGGTTTTATATTTGTCAATTATCTAGAAAGTAAAAATTCAAGCTTTTTTTCACTAAAAAGAAAATGTTACTTTTTTATTTTTTTATTTACTAAATTAAAGGTGTCTGGATGGAGAATCTCATTTTATTACAGGAAATGTAAATAGACAATTATGTTTGAGATTCAATCCATAATTTTAGCTAAACGTAACTGATACATTGAAATAGTTCAGATAATCTGTTGCCAGTTCTGAAACTAATTTTGTCACTGATATATTAATGACACCATTAGTTAATATTATGTTTGTAGAGGCTTGGAAGTTTTCTGTTTCTTCATTTGACTTATTTTTGCTGCATTACCACCCAGAAATTACAGTGTTCAGCAATTCCAAACAATGTTTTATGGGTGAAAAATGTTCAGTTTTGCAATACTACTAAAACCAGAAGTGAAACTTTCTTCTAGGATATCTTAAAGCTTCTTTTTTACTC